ATATCGAACGTTTCGAAAATAAGACCATTTTTTCGGACAAACTGTGTCCCTATTATCAAACGCGCCCCCATTTTGGACCGCCAGGTACAGAACCTGTCCGCTGGCCCGCTCTGTTTGCATCCCTGCGCAGATGCTGTGAGCAGTCTAGCTTTGTTTATGCTTGAGTGAACACTAACCTGCGATCTCATTCACACATTTTACGATTATTTAATTGTGTTTAGTGCTTGTGGGGCTGTGAAATAAGCTGCCATGGGCCCAAAGAAACCTGCTAGCGGTACCCCTGTGGTAAAGAAAGTGAGAAACACCATAGATGTGAAGAAGGAAATAATACAGAAGTATGAGATTGGAGTGAGACTTGTTGAGCTTGCCAGGATGTACAGAGGACTGTGGACAGTTATTTTGTGAGACAGAAACAGACGACTGTGGACAGTTATTTTGTGAGACAGAAACAGACAACTGTGGATAGTTATTTTGTGAGATAGAAACAGAGGACTGTAGACAGTTATTTTGTGAGACTGGGGTCCAATGACTCTCAAGCTGGTTCTAGTGGCATTAAAATACAGAGAAGGGAAGCAACCCCAGAGAGGGCTTTGATACCGGAAGTCCTCATGGAGGGGGATTCTCCTTCCAAACAACCCCAACTCCCTCTCTCCTCCTCCCTATCTTCCAGATGCCATCACCAATCTTCAATAAAGGTAAGTAAAAATGTTATTTTTAATATTACAAATCCCTAATTAAATACTAAAAACTTTTTGGGTTGTGTGAATGTAAAACTGAAAAAATTTTTAAAAATCTCTATAAAATTTTATTTTTTTTGTGTGAATTTTTTTGGGTTTTTCTGGAACAGAAAAATTGTGTTTCTTTTATTTCTTAGGGGAAAATTTGCTCCAAATTTTTCAGACTTTTCAATTTAGAAAAAGCTCCTGGAAGGTTAAAATTTTGATTTTGGGTTCCTCTGAAAGCTGATTTACTGTTATGCAGACTACTGCATTATTGTAATTGTATAAATATGTTAACTCATTTGTGACTGCATTTTTAGATGGCCATTTTTTTTTGGAAAAAACGTTTTTGGACGGTAAACGCCCTTTTTTTTACTCTTGAACTCGGCAAAAATCAAACTTGTCTGCAAATTTTTGAGCTAAATTTAAAAGGTGCTTTTTTAAAATTGTAAAAACCATCGAAATATCTGTTTTTTTTTTAAATTAATACTTCCTTTTCTATCAAATGAAAAACCAAGAAAATGAGAATGCAACCATAAATACAACACAAAAATACACTGAAAATTTCGCTTTTAAAAACCCCAAAAAAAACAGTTTTTTTTTTCTTATGCATGCTTTGGCTGCGGGTTTTTTTTTTTTTAAAACTGCAAAACATGACCAAGCAAAACCCATTCTTTCATTTGTGGGCCCCTACCAGCTTTTCCACAGATTTAAAGGCGCTTGAAGTTTGGTTTTTAAATAGGGGACCGACACTTGGCTATCAACCCCACATATACGGGGCCCAAAACCCCTAAAAGGGTTAATGAAGGGGTTTCCCTTCCTTCGACTAGGTCTAAAAACAAAACCCATCACCCAAGGTTATCAGGAGCTGTAGGGCCCATGAAAGGGGAGATGACAGCAAGGAAATGGAAGGACTTAAAAAAGGTAGGGGTTTAGGAGTGTAGCTTTCGAGAAAAAAATCTCATTAGTGTGGTGGTCTTTGATTTTTTTTCTTTTTTTTTCCAAAAAATTAGTTTTGAAATTGTAAAATTCATCCATGTGCTGTTCAACATTTGGGCCCCCATCCCCTTTCTATTTTCCAAAAAATAACTGCTTTCACTTTCAGAACAAACCAGCTAACCCCTTTTTATTTTTCTGTACTTTTTCCCAATTTTTTTCCTTTTTTTTCCAAGTGCTTTGTTTTTTCCTACTCTATTAATCTTCAGTAGTTAGCTTCCTTCGACATATTCCACTAATTCTTAATATTTTCCCACTTAAACCACCCAAAATTAAGCAGGGTTAGCAATTTTCCAGGGCCCCCGAAAGTTTTGTACAGCGTACAGTACTGACGGGTTGGAGAGCTGGTTTAATTCGCTTAGTCTTTAAAACGGGGTTAATCGTTAATTTGGGGAGTGTTTTAATCGTTTAATAATAGCGACTTGTCCAAAAGGTAGGGGGGTTTACAAAATTGGTAGTCCAGTATTGCATTTTTCCACAAAAAAGGGGACCTTCAGACCTAAAAGGGAATTAAAAACTATGGAAAAACACCTGGGTTAGTCTTTTAGACGTTCCCCCAAACCAGTGGCTTTATCAAAAACAGGACAAACATGAATATTATATACAAAAGATGAAGTAATCAATCCCCCAAACCTTGGGGGTATGGTGCTCCCCAACCCAAGGCTGAGGGACTGGTTACCCTCCCTTTTGTATTTGTTCAAAATTTTTCACTTTTTGTTCTTGTATTGTTTAAAACCCCTGGTTGGCAAAAAGTCTGCAAATAATACCCAGATTTTTGTGTCAATTTTTTATCTTGTTGGGGATTTTAAAACCCCTTGGGTGTACCCAAATTCAGACCATATCCCTGAAAAGGAAGAGGGGAAAACAAGGCTGGGGGGTGGGGTTACAGCATAAAAACATATTTTTCAGGGCCCAGTTGTAGATTTTTCATTTCGATATTTTTTGATGCCGTTTCTGAGATGTTAAGGAGTTTATATGGGCCATCAATTTCAAATCCCCAAAATTTTTGTGAGGCAAATCTTTCCCCCTCAGGGGTTACGGAGAAAAAAGGGGGTAAATGGGAGGGCCTTGGGGAAAAAGTGATGCCAATTTTTTAATTGCCTCAACAAAAAATTTGCTATTTTTTTTTTTAATGGCTATAGTTAAAGGGCCCAAACAGGGTCAGTTTGTACCCTTTCCTCTAAGTTTTTTTTTAAACCTTTTTCCGGTTGAGCATATAAGAGGTAGTGGATTTAAAAGGTAAAAAAGGTAAACAGCCAAGTCCATTTAGCTGTCAGTTTAATGCCCAAAGAGAGGCACACAATTTGAAAATTTTAAAACAGTCTATGGTTGTAATAGCGTCCTGGTGATTGAAGTGTTTTAAAATTAAAATTTTTGGGGGTCCCAAAAACCCTAGGGGACTTTTTTTAAGACCATGTAAGAAAAAGACAAAAGTTTTTTTGGCTGAAAATTTAGGGTTTGGAAATTCCCTGAAGTCACAGGCCCTGTCATTTTGTTCAAAGCATTGTTTAAGGGCCCGACTAAGTATATCCAAAACTTTTATGAAAGTAAAAAAGTCATTTTAGATGTTTTTCTTTGGGGGTTTGGTGTTTGCACTTGGGAAAAAAAATGTTTTATTTTATGTTTGGGAAGGGGAAATTTTGTTTTCTGGGGGAGGGCACCCGGTTTTGCTTGTTTAGGTGTGCCTTTTAGGTGCCCCCTAGGGAAGTCTTAGTTGTCAAGGTAAATTTTGGGTTTATTTACCAATGGGGGAGGCAAAAGCTGGGCCCTATGAGTTTGGGCAGCAAGGGATTTCCCAAAACCAATTTCAGATTTTGAGGGAGGAAGGGGCCCTGGTCTACAGGGGGAGTTTGGGAAAGGGGTTGCATTTGCCTGGTATCCAAGAGAACTAACAGTTCCTCATTTATAAGGCCAAAAAAAAAGGGGGAAAATGGGCTCCGAGACTTTTTAAACCCACCCTGTTACCTCCGCTGCAAGTAATTTCTGCTGCTGTTTTCCCGGGGAAAATACTACTTTTCCCCTCCTGGATCTGCCGACAACCTCCGTAATACCTTCAAACCTAGAGGCCTGTAAAGGGGCCCCCTGACACCCTATGATCCAGTTTTTAAGTGGAGAGCATGACCACTGCAGACTTTTTCCCAAAGGAAAAATACCCTTAAACTGGGGTATTATTAGGCATCTACTAATTTTTTTTGGTATAAGTATTGTTTAAAAATTTTATATCATCCCATCCCTACTACTAACCTCCCCTTCTCCTTTCCCTTTTTCCTCATTATGAAGAAAAATTTTCCCCCTCAAGTTCACCTTTTGCTGGAAAGAAAATTTTCCAGCCCTTTAAAACAAATACCAAAACAATACTAATACTTGGGACACCCCCCAGTTGGGGGGTATTTAAATTGTCCCAAAGGGAAAGGGGACCGACATTCCCAATTTTTTAGATCGGAGTCCCCCTTTCCCCCCTTTTCCCGCAAGAGGGCCCCCTCCCCAAAGGCTTTTTTTAAATTTTTAAATTTCAAGAGTAAAGTTTTTTTTTTTTTTTTAAAAACACAATGACAATTTTTCATTTCCCATCTGGGATTATGAAATTTTAAACACTCCCAAAAAATTTAAAACTTTGTTGAAACCCGGATCGCAGCTGCATTAAAAAGCTCAACGTCTGTTTTTAAACAAAACAAGGAAAACTTTTTAAAAAAAATTTAAATTTAACCCTTTGTTCACTTGCTAGTTATTCAAGCGGGAAAACATTGAATATTCTGTAAAACCCCCACAGGTTTGCACTTTCCCCCTGATTATGATAATTTAAAAAACAGGGAAACAGTTTTCCCCAACTTCAGATACCTCAAACAGTTAAATATAAATACCTTCTTAAATTAAAAAAGGGGGGTCATTTAAATAATAAGTATTTTTGCACATCCATCTTTTATTACCATTTTCAATACTTTGCTCTAATTTTCTTACCTGTCACTTACTGTAGTACAGAAAAATATAATTGAAGCTCGGCTTTTCTATGCTACATATTAGTGGGATTATCAAAGAGCTAAAAAGCACCCACTTAAATTAACCCACTAAATATTGGTCATATAAAAGGCAACTGAATGGTTTGTCAATCACAAAATAAAATTAAACTACTGTATAACCTAGATACATAAATAGAAAAAGAAGATTGTGCATATAACCATAGGTAATAAAATATAAAGTTCATGCAAAATATTCTGCGTAATCTAAAGGTGACAGCATAATTAATGAAAGGTAATTATGACTTTATTGATGACTATAATAGATGAAGTGAGTGAGAACTGTAGAAGTAATAATATTAATGATGGTAGTGATGAATGTTAAAATAACTACTGTAATATGTCAATTAACTTAAAACCAGATAACAGCACTTGAAAGAAATTAACTTAAAATCAGATAACAGCACTTGAAAGAAAGAGTTCATATTGCTTAGATAAAATTAAGAGCCTGATGATTTAAGATTGTGGGCACTGGGTGACAAAAATACATTACATTATCTTTGATATTCAACATATAGTGTATAAGATGTATTAGCATTTACAAAGCATTTCTCTTAAATAGTAGTAGTACTACTACTACTGACTTGCAAATCCAGACATAGTATTACATGAAGCTTTTAAGAAAATAATTTGAATGGATTAAAATGCTGAATATACACACTACTATCACAATTTAAAAACTGAAAAATATTACTTTTACGTTGACTAACTTCATAGCAATACATATGTCGGTAATGCAAATACAGTACTACTGAACTAACATCCACAACATTCAGTGGACCATGTGAAATAATAAGACCTATATATACATGTGGTATACATTAATGCTATGGAAAAATAAGTCTTGGTTCACAAATGTCCCGCCAGTCAAGCTCCTCTACAACAGCATTTTTGTCCAGTGTATCTTCAGTCAGGTCAACTTCCTCCTCCTCCTCAAAAGTCAGGTCAACTTCTTCCACATTTTCTTCTTTGTCCAATTCTTCACTGGATTTTATTTTATCTGTCAACAAGAAAGCCATACTTACACTTAATATTATAAAGAGTATTAGTCATGAACAATTTTAATTTTATAACTGATTGGTTGTTGGCCTATCCTGCTACAATTAAACTGCACTGCTATTTTGTATTTTTTCCAAAACTACACTACCTTTCTTGACTATCTTCACCTCTTCAAGGGGGGCTCCTTGGCGTGGTGAAGAGGCTCTTGGTCTGAGGAATTAGACCTATCGGTCTTCTTCCTCAGACCGAACCTAATTACCCCCCAATCTCCCCTCCCCTATCCCATCCTCCCCATCCTCCCCTTTTTCCTTTCCTCCTCCTCCTCCCCACTCCTCCCTTTTGCCCTTCCTCTTTTGTCCTTTGGGATTTCCCCCACAGGCACGCTAGTTCCTAGGTAGAGGAAAGGACACCGGGGTCGATCCCATTCCGTTGAGGTTTCTTGGCGGTGGCGTAGTTTGCCGTGGAATCTGGATTGCCTAGGGATGTCCCGATCCCTCTCCGGTATCCGGAGTAGCTTTGGGTGCTTTTGGGCGACGGGTGTATCTCTGGAAGCCACCTTTCGGATTCCGGGGGTGGTGGCTGAAGGAGGTATGCTTTGTGGCGGATATCCGGCCGCCCTCTCTTTTGTCCACCGAGGTAGGCTCGGCAGATGTGAGGTTGCTATCCAGATTGCTGGTTTACTGGCATGAAGGGTAGGGTATGGCACGGGTTCCATGCTGCATCTGCGCTACTAGCGGTGTCGAGTCCTCTTGGGCGCGGAGGGAGATTTCTGGCCCTTTCATTCCTCCTAGGAACTATCCCTCCCCGGTCCCCTTTTTTTTTCTTTTTTTATTTTTATTTTCTTTTCTTCTTTCTTTTTTTTTTTTAAAATAAAAAAAAAAGAAGAAGAAGAAACCCTAACCATGGCAGCCCTAGTCCATGAACCTTTTACCCCCGGGCCCCTTCTTGATACCGCACCCCGTTCTGACCCCGCCTCGTCTTTGGACCACTCTTCAGACATTCCTCATGCCTCTGTACCTATTGCCGGTGCTGTTTCCTCACCTGCTTCAGGTACTGGGGCCTCGACTGACTCCTTCGATTTATCAGACCTTCGCTCTCCTCTGACTATGCTTCCGGCCTCTCCCTCTACGGTGCGGCAATTTTCAAATCGCCGACCCGTTCCACGTCGGACCAACTCTGGTCCCACGCCTAAACGTCAACGACAATTACCTGCTGATGATACTTCTCCACCTTCACCTTCTCGTTCTTCTCAGAAAAGATCGACCACGTCCTTCACTACCTTTCCACGCTCAGTTTCAGACTGAACAGTGGACTAAATTTTTTCACTTTACGACCAACTTCCTCTACTGCCTATCTTCTGACCATAGTATTGCAAGCACTCCTACGCCATGTTGGTAAAGATATTTCTTTTCATGCTCTTAAGAGCGGTACGCGCATCATTACCGTACAGAATGCTACCCAGCTCGTGAGCTCTCTCGTCTTTCCCATATAGATACTGTTCCTGTCACCCTTGAAAAACATCATTCCCTCAATTCTTGTAGTGGTACCGTTATTCTGCCCCATACCATAGTTCAACAAAATTTCCAGACATGTGGCACCGACATTCTAGAACAGCTGGAACTCCAAGATCTCCCAATCCTCAAGGTAGACACTTACGTTCTTCCTGCCCGTGGGCGGAGACGATACCCTAGCAATGTGGCTCGTTTAATTTTTGACAGCCGAGAAACTCCCATCCTCAGTTTATATAGCAGGACATCGGTTACAAGTTCGAAAGGTGATCCCTTTACACCACAACAGTGTAGAAATTGCTGGCGATTTGGCCATCCAGCGAAATATTGCAGATCTATCGCCGAATGCCCAGTCTGTGGTGCCGATGACCATTCTAATACGTCTTGCAATCGATCTCCCTCTTGCCTTAACTGTCATGGGGCTCACCCTTCGTACTCTCGCCGTTGTCAGGTCTATTTAAACGAGCGGGAAATCCGTCACCTCAAAGAGACAGAAGGTCTCCCTTATGCCATGGCAGTTTCTCATCTCCGCCTCCAAGGGAGACTCCCACGTGTTTCTTATTCCCGTGTTTCAAAACGTCCCCCACTTCTGGTATCCATCTTCTACACCCACCTCTGTGGTTACCTCTCCCATAATCACTCCTGTATCTAATCCTTTTGCTGTCCTCGGCTCAGACGTCCCTACTTCAACGCCTCAGTCTAATCTCGCTTCTTCGAGTTCTCTCTTACAAGCCTCAGTATCGACGAGACCTCTTTACGACACCTCTTCCCAATCGTCCCTCTACTTCTCAAAAGTCAAAAAAAGGTCCGGTAACACCTCCTACCAAATCTTCCCACCTCCTCCATTTTACCCTCCCTGTCTCTGTCCTAGTTCTTCCCCTCTCACTGGCTCAGTTACAAGTGCAGAGGTTCACCCTCCTCCTCGTAATGTACCTTCCTCCCCCTGTTCCCTCCAAGTTTCTTCCTCTTCTGCCACCTCCCAGGTTCCTGTCTCTTCTGTCCCTGCCACGCTTCTCCAGTTCCCTCCACCCTTTCGCCCCCCCTACCTTGGTACAGTCCAATACAGTTCCAATCTTTACTCATCCTCCCTACCATTCCCATTATTGTCTCCATACGACATCTCTGAATTCCGAAACACTTGAAGCAATCTCTGAATATATTGCAGAGCCCAAAAACCATCAATGGACACTGATCCACCTTCCGCTCTTCCTCTCTCCTCTGCTCCATCTGCGCAACTCCTTTCTTCACAGCGCACCGTTCCTTCGCTGCTTGAACATTTTCCACTGCCTCCGCATGTGGACTTTTCTAACCCTTCTAGTCCGTAGGAACCCTTACCTGCGGATTTCAAGTATCTTTATCATTGCCAATCATGGCCTTTTTACAGTGGAATATACGCGGCCTCAGGGGTAATCGGGGTGAGCTTCAGATGTTACTCTCCCAGTTTGCCCCTGTTGGTGTTTGCTTACAGGAACCAAAATTACACTCTGCTGTTATTTCTCACATCTCAGGCTATAATTTATTGTATTCTTCAGATCCTTTTCCCGATGGGACCTTTAATGAAAGTGCCCTTCTTCTCCGCACTGATATTCCGTACCATCAGCTATTTGTTCATACTTCGCTGCATTACACAGCAGCCCGTATCCACTTACATAGGTGGTATACGCTCTGTTCTTTATATCTCTCTCCTTCTCGGGCATTATCTATTCGGATTTTGCCTTCCTTGTTTCGTCATTACCGCCACCGATTCTGTTACTTGGTGATTTTAATGCCACCATTTCCTCTGGGGAGGGTCTCACTGTGATTCCCGTGGAATTCAGTTAGAGGCTTTTCTTGCCACCCACCCCCTCCATGTTTTAAATACAGGTACTCACACCCATTTTGATCCTCGGACTCATACTCTCTCTTGCATCGATCTCTCAGTTTGCTCTTCCTCCGCCGCATTAGACTTACTTGGTCTGTTCTCCCGGACTTACATGACAGTGATCATTTCCCAATCATTCTTACTTCCCCTTCATATTCGCCACCTCTTCGCACCCCACGCTGGCAATTTAATCGGGCAAATTGGAACCTTTACTCACACCTGACTGTTTTAAAGAGGTTCCTTCTTTCGTCCTCCATCGATGAGCTTTTACACCTATTCTCATCCTCCCTTTTCACCGCAGCTTCTCATTCTATACCCCCAAAATTCGAGCAGGCATTCTCAGAAATGCGTGCCTTGGTGGTCTCCTGCTTGTGCTCGTGCAGTACGTTTGAAACGCGTGCATGGGGCAGGTACCGGTACAATAGAACCACAGAGCGACTCCTTGATTTTAAACAGAAGCGTGCGATCGCTCGCCGTGTCATCCGTGACGCTAAACGCACTTGCTGGCGAGATTATGTCTCCACCATCACCTCTGCTTCCTCTATGAGTGCAGTCTGGAAAAAAGTACGAAAACTGAGTGGTAAATATTCTCCTGACCCGGCTCCTGTTCTGCGGGTTGCCGGTGTTGATATAGCAAACCCACTAGATGTTGCCAATGAAATTGGCAATCATCTGGTCCGTATTTCTCAGGGACTCCATCTATGCCCCTCATTTCTTTCCTCAAAATCTGCCAGAGAGTTAGCACCCTTGGACTTTTCTTCTCTCAGAGAAGAACAGTATAATGTGCCTTTTACACTTCAAGAACTGGAGGCAACACTCTCAGCTTGTCGATCATCGGGAGCTGGGCCCGACGACATTCATATTCGTATGCTACAACATTTACATCAGTCAGCCCTTGCAGTCCTATTACGCCTTTACAATCTTATTTGGTCACAAGGAGTTCTTCCACAGCTGTGGAAATCCGCCATTGTTCTCCCTTTCCGCAAACCAGGCACTACGGGACATGAAACCTCCCACTATCGTCCCATTGCTCTTACCAGTGCAGTTTGCAAAGTAATGGAACGTCTAGTAAATAGACGTTTAGTGTGGTATTTAGAGACACACAACAGTCTCTCCACTCGTCAATATGGCTTTCGTAAGGGACGTTCTACCATAGACCCTTACTGCGCTTGGATACGTATGTTCGTAATGCCTTTGCGAATAACCACTCAGTTATTGCCATATTTTTTGATCTTGAGAAGGCATATGACACAACTTGGAGGTATAATATTTTAGCCAAGCCCACTCCTTAGGCCTTCGAGGCAATCTACCATCCTTCCTTAAGAACTTTTTAACTGACAGGCATTTCCGTGTTCGGGTTAATAATGTGCTCTCCCCGGACTTTATCCAAGCTGAAGGTGTCCCCCAGGGATGTGTTCTGAGCACAACACTTTTTCTCCTTGCTATTAATGATTTGGCCTCTAGTCTTCCATCAAAATATTTGGTCATCACTCTATGTTGATGACTTCGCTATTGCCTGTGCAGGCGCTGACTGTCACCTCCTTACAGTTTCTCTCCAGCATGCAGTCGACCGTGTTTCCAATTGGGCCACCACACATGGGTTTAAATTTTCCAGCACTAAAACCCACCCAA